ATTTCCTATGGGAAAAAGCTGTGTTTGAACAAACGCTGTACAAAAAATGCTTTGCTTTGTCAAGACAACGCAATAAAATAAAACATGAAATATTGTGCACATGACTGTACATTGAGAGCAATTTCCAATGTCCAATGTTTAAACCCAGTTTATTCCAATAACTCACATTACGCAGGTTTAACATGGACAGCCAAATGGATTAGGGGGTCCAAGCACCTTCCCGACTATAATCTGTTTGACTTGCACACATAAAGAAGCTGCCACATTTGCAATTATAATGTGAGAAATGCCTCGTCTACAGCAATTCAAACGCCCCCCGTCGGTACAAAGCAGTGCGGGGCGTAGCTATAGCTGTGTGGCTAATCGGGTGATTGTGCTCATGTAAAGGAACTGTGTCTGCGTTTTTTCAGCCTGAGTGCGTGGGAGCAGATTCATCAACAGACCACAGATACACCGCCCAAAAACAGGCTCAGTGACCAGAGTCAATTATGTCGTCTGTATTATGTCTGAATACTTCACACACATTCTTATGAAGCCCTAATCTCAGTGTCAGTTTGAGCACTCTGGTGCATCAAATGTGAAGTAAACCATGTATGAAAGCTTTCTTATACATGCGCAGTCAGAATCCTTTATACATGTATCTGCATGTATCTGGGTTGATATTACTGAAAAAAGTGGGACCAAACTTTTCAACTGTAGTGTGTGTGTGTGTGTGTGAGAGAGAGAGAGAGAGAGAGAGAGAGGGAGAGAGAGAGAGAGAGAGAGAGAGAGAGAGAGAGGCCCAGCTCTGTGTGTGGGCACTAGTCACAACCTGTTGCTTTTTGAAGAGGCTGAAAAAAAGAGAGGGAAAAAAGAAAGCTATGGGAGAAAGTGTGGATGGAGAGATTTAAAGAAAGGTTGAGCTCGAATGCTACAGTGGGCCATTATTCTAAAGACTGGACCACAGCTTGTTTAACTGTTTCACCATACAGAGTAAAAAGGGTTTTTTGTATGCCTGAAAGCCAAATACTCTTCACAACAGGAGCTCCTGCAGGACAAAGAGAGAGTGTTAAAGACGCAATAAACAACAGGCCTGAATTTACTGTAAAGCTACTATACAGATCTGAATTGTGTGTGTGTGTGTGTGTGTGTGTGTGTGTGTGTGAGAGAGAGAGAGCGTGAGAGCGAGAGAGAGAGCGAGAGAGAGAGAGAGAGAGAGAGAGAGAGAGAGCAGACGTCAGTTCATGCTGAAGGATTTTCAACATAGTGCAAAAACACGCCTATGTTGCCACCATGTGGCCATTCTGCAACATTGCACTTTAGAGGGATGGATGGATAGATAGATAGATAGATAGATAGATAGATAGAGAGATAGATAGATAGATATTATTCAAATTTTGATTTTTGTTGAGTATGTTATTCATTTTGTTTGACAAAAATAAGCCTAATATTAAAATATTAAAACTACCGTAACCACAAAATAATTAATTTAATTAATTAAATAATATGTGCTGTTGTTCTGCGCTAACACCGTCACTCTCACCCTCACCATCATTACATCATCACTATCATCATATTACCATCTCAAGCATCTTCACCATCACCATTGCTGTCGCCCCATATCTTTACCGCTATCACCATTATGATCATCATCACCATCATGATCACCATCATCACCACTGCCTTTACCCTCACCACCGTCATCTCATATTCACCACTACTGTGATTTTTGTTACGACTAACATCGCCAGCATCACCATATCACCATCACTTTAATCACCACCACCATCTTCATCACCATCATCATCACCAGCACCAGTACCATGGCAATGGTTATGACGATGGTGTTGATGATGATTATGGTGACAAAGATGGTAATGATGTCGATGGTGATGGATCATCACCATCACCATCATGATCATCATCACCATTATCATCATCACAGCGATCATCACCCTCACTCTCACCACCATCACCCTCACTCTCACCATCACCGCAATCATCACCGTCATCATCATCACAGTGATCATCATCCTCACTCTCACCACCATCACCCTCACTCTCACCATCACCACAATCATCACCGTCATCATCATCACAGTGATCATCATCCTCACTCTCACCACCATCACCCTCACTCTCACCATCACCACAATCATCACCATCATCATCATCACAGTGATCATCACCCTCACTCTCACCATCACCCTCACTCTCACCATCACCACAATCATCACCATCATCATCACCATCATCATCACAGCGATCATCACCTTCACTCTCACCACCATCACCCTCACTCTCACCATCACCACAATCATCACCATCATCATCATCATCAACATCATCATCATCACAGCGATCATCACCCTCACTCTCACCACCATCACCCTCACTCTCACCATCACCACAATCATCACCATCATCATCATCACAGCGATCATCACCCTCACTCTCACCACCATCACCCTCACTCTCACCATCACCACAATCATCACCATCATCATCACCATTATCATCATCACAGTGATCATCACCCTCACTCTCACCACCATCACCCTCACTCTCACCATCACCACAATCACCATCATCATCATCATCACAGCGAGCATCACCCTCACTCTCACCACCATCACCCTCACTCTCACCATCACCACAATCATCACCATCATCATCACCATTATCATCATCACAGTGATCATCACCCTCACTCTCACCACCATCACCCTCACTCTCACCATCACCACAATCACCATCATCATCATCATCACAGCGAGCATCACCCTCACTCTCACCACCATCACCCTCACCATCACCACAATCATCACCATCACTCTCACCACCATCACCATCATCATAATCATTACCTTAATCATCTTCACCATCATCATCATCACATTGATGGTGATGATGGTAACGACGATGGTGATGAACCACCATCACCCTCACTCTCACTCTTATGGTGATGGTGATTATGGTGATGTTGATAGTGATGGATCATCACCACAGTGATGGTGATGATGGTGACGAAGATGGTATTGAACCATCATCACCCTCACCATCACCCTCACCATCACTGTCCCCATCATTATTCTAATTAGAACGCTGCTCTGATCTCCATAGTTACCGGAACCCGCGCGCTGTTTCCGGCTCCGCCCACTCGCAGGAGCGTAGGCGAAGGAAGATGGCGGCGGCGGTGGAGAATGTAGTGAAGCTGTGAGTAAAAGTCTGACCGCCGTCGCTCTTTTAAACGCAGCCGCGGCGTCCGGGCCGCGACACGCGGGCGCGAACAGGCGGAGAGAAGCTCTGCCGGGCGGTAACGGGCGGCGTGAGTAGCGCGTGAGGAGCATGTGGTGAGAGTTCGCGCTGTTCCTGCCGCGAGCAGGAGCTGCCGTTAGCCGACTCGGCTAGCCTGTTAGCGGAGACTGTGTCCGGGTTAAACGCGCCTCGTCCGCGGAGCTCAACTTAGCTTCGTACTCGAATCTCCCGTTCCACCTTAAATGGGGCAGCAGTTACAGTCTGCCGCCTGAGGCGCCTCAGCGTCTCTGCTGCCCCGTTTAAGGTGGAGCGGTAAACGATAGTGTTTATGTGGAGCGGTAAACTCGAGTAAGTGTCTGGCGGATAGGAAGCCAACTTCAAGCCTCGTGCCGAGAGCCGCTGAGCTCACCGCGGGTGGGGAGCTCTGTGTCTGTATGAAGCCTTAAAGAGCCCGTTTTAAACTAACACCCCGCTGTTTTGATCCACCGTGTTTTAGTAAGTCTGTGTTTCGGTGTTGTCGGTGACGCAGCGCTGCTGTCACCCGGACTGCGGTGTTTATTACGGTCTGCGTGTTTGTATTTACAACTTTGTGGGGACCGAATGTCCTCGGAAGGGTAACATGACGTGAACGTGTTGGCGTTGTGGGGACCTCTTGACTGCTCCTCACACAAAAAAGCACCTCAAAAACTGGAGCTTTTACTCCAAAATAATAAGACGAGAAAGATCAGCTTCTCAGGTTAGAGTTAGATGAGGTTGGTGGATTCTGTGAACTGTTTGAAGTAATTTTAAAAGAAGAACTAAACCAACTTGTTCTGTTTGTCTGCATAATTAAGGTGTTAAGATGTAAACAACGTAAATAAGGTTGTTCAGTTGCAAAAAGTGCTGCTGTAGAGAAACTCGAGTCAGAGTTGGTCGCAGTGGTGGTGATAGGAACCAATCGTCTGAAGCGTTTAGTGCCTCACACAAATGCAATGTGTGGTTCCTGATATATGTGTTTATATATATGTGTATGTTTTGTAATGTTTGAGAAGAGTTTGGCTTAAAACTCAAGACACGCTGGTTGTTTTGGATAGTAGATAGATTAGTTATATTAATACTAGACATGGTGACCCCTGGTTCCCATCAACACCACTGTAAAGAAATGAGTCTGTAAGTTTCTCTGCAGTGATTTTTTTTTTTCTCATCAAACCACCCTGAGTGACTTGTTTACATCTCAGCAATTAAATTATACAGAAATTTAGGGGAAAAAAATCACAGAATTCCTCTTTAAATCTTAAGACTAATCGTAGATGTGCCAGGTTTTGACGCTCATTGTGTCTGTCTGCAGCCTGCAGGTGCTTTAGCGTCAGTTAGTTGTAATTCTGGAGCCTCTAAGAAGCAGCTAAGCCACAGATGTCTTCTTACTTGGCTCTGTTGTTGGACTGCAGTTCCTATGAGCTCTTTTTTGAGCTGGAGAAGCGAGAGAAAGCAGAAGCAGGAAGTGGCCGGTTCCTCTGTGTGTTCACAAAGTGTGTAATCCCTTCTTATCTTCCAGCTTTGAAACGATTAGCTGATCGTTCATCTGCCGAGGCTTTTATGGCTCTGATCACGTTTGCATTGTTTATTTGGAAGATAGGAGAGAAATGACACATCTAGGAAATTCGCCCTGCTTCAAATCTTCCACTGCCTCACAAACTTACTGTGGCCTCAGAAGTAACAGTGTTTTGGCCATGAATCTTCTCGTTATCAGGACTCGTGTTAGTGCAGTGATGTTGATGGGCTGGTTTTAGTTACAGCCGCTAAAGGAATTGGTTGAAAAACCAAATTTGCCCTCTTACCACAAAATAGTCAGTCAGCCAAGGCAACTCAGATACACTGTATGATTTCTGTTATGTTATCTATTCAAACACCAATCATGTCTCCGCTGACTGTGTCTGTGATAGGGGGATCATTGTGGTCGTAAACTTGATTTTGCTGAACTGTCGCTTTAAGGAGCCGAATGCTTTTAACCTCGATACGTGGAAAAAAGACGTTCCGCTTCTTAACATTCCCCCGATTCCTTTCTGACCTCATCGTCCTCTTCGCGTCCTCCCAGTCTGCGGAGAGCCGTCGGCCTCCCTCGGGCTCTTGGCGGTTGCCCGGCGACGGAGTGGCACCTCCCGCTGTCCGGCAGCCACAATGACTCGGCTGGATGGCCGCTTTGCCTTCCAGCCACTGATCATGCGCTTGCAAACAAAAGCGGGCTAGTTAAAGCCCTCGTCTGTGTTGTTGTGCACACAACGCATACACACACGCAGAGGGGTTCAAAGCCGGCCAGAGCTAAGCTGATTTAGGGTGACCGACTGAAACTGTTCTGGATATGAGTTGCTTGGCTGAGCTGAGGGTGGGCAATGGGGGGGGGGGAACGGAGCCCAATACTTTTCACAGTTTGATGGGCATCGTTATGTTTCTCTTCGTCTGTGACAACCAGGGTGATTTTTAAGTGCATCTTTTGCTTAAATAAACTATTTAAGCAGAAAGAAGAAGCTGCTTGTTACTCGTGCAGTTACTGTACTGGTTGTTGTGGTTTACAAGCTCTGTTTGTCCTATAATTGGTCTAAATCCTTTCTGGGATTCATGCAGTTGTTCAGTGTCATAGAAGCGCAATGGTAGAAGTTCCCGTGATATACTCAGAAAAGCGTATTGTGAAGTAAATTATCATTATCATTATATAACGATGCCATCTTGTCATATTTCCTACTTCTAGGTCAGTGTGTTGAAGGAGACCTGTCCCAGTGATTGTGCAGGACATGATTTTATGCATTATACCATAAAAAGGGCAAAGCTGTTCAAAGCAGGTTTTCTCATTTAACCAGAAATTAAGCCCAAAGTCAAGTCTGGTTCTGTAGGAGACTAAATCCTCAACCTTAAGCTTAACTTAACCAACTTACTGAGACTTTCTGCTTTGTTAAATATCTCTCTGGCATCTATTTGTCTTTGGGAAGCTTCAGACAGCTGCATGCTGCTGTGAAGCAGGCTTGAGTCGATAGTTTCCATCTGTCGCGGTTGTCAGGCCGTCTGTGGCTTTAGGATTTACCAAAGTAATTATATTTGTCTCGCAGTCCGATTTCCTTAGTGTTTAATGTTGGTCCATGCCCTGAATCAGCCCTGATATGCTGTCTTGCATTAGAACGTTCTGTTTTATTAACCGATAGCAAGAACTTCTAAACTCTACCAGCGTCCAAACCATGCGAAAAACTACCAAACAATACCAAGAACTACCAACCCGTGCCAAGAACGTCTAAACTATACGAGGAACTTCCAAACCATACCAAAAATAACCAAACTGTCCCATTATCCATACTATGGAAAGTTAGCTTACAAGTTTCTGACCAGAAAACTTGTGTATTTTTCCTTGTTTGACCTGTTCTAGATCACTGTACCTATATCTGTTTCGGTATGCTTCCCATCTAATCGTTCACTTCCTAGTTTTTATGCCACATTTTTATGCATCAAGTCATCCAGTGATACAGTGATGCAGTTTACCGTTAGAAAGCTTAAAATCTCAGGATTCGATTCCTGTAAACCATTTTATGATCCATAATTCTCAGCAGTAACGATCATCTCATCTGCAACATAAGCACCGAATGAGCGCCAGCAGGTCTGTGGGTCCTTACCATCAAAGCCTCCCCGCAATCCACAGAGACATCGTAATCCAAAACATGTCTTGATAACACGGCAAGAGTCAGTTTAGAGATCTAGAGTCAGGTGGAAACAAACTCCTCCCTTCCAGCCTCTGTTACTCTGTCAGTAATTCGTACAGTTTTTTGGTTGAACGGTTGGGGAAAAAAACTCGAGTGTCACCTTTTAAATGAGGCAGAGATCATGACTGTAGCCTAACGCATGTGGGAACTGAGCTCCTTTACTTTGGGTATTCGTTTTAGCCAAAAATGGGGTGACAGTTAGAAGGTTAAGCAAGCCACAGCAGGTAATGCAGTGTGGATATTTTTAGTTATGCATTTATTTGACCTGCCCAAACCCCAAACATCAGCCTGAAAATCAGGCCATTTTCAAACTGCTGTGTACACAGTTCCTCCAGTCACATTTCTGTGATCAGTGTATTTTTAAAGATTAATTATTGAATCTAAAGCTGGTAAAATGTAAGTTTCATGATGCTTTGAATCATTTTGCAAAAAAAAAAAAAATCTTATTTCGGGTTGATTGATTGTGAAGTGTTGAGCTCTCCTGCTGATGGATGATTGTCTGTCGAGCTCTCCTGCTACCCGCTTTAGACCAGTTACCCACGCCCCAGTCACCGCCACTTGCCCAGCTACCGCCACCTGCCTTGGACTAGCTGCCCACACTACACTGAAGTGGACTCCTAACTATTACTACTACTATTAATATTAGTAGTATAATAATTTTGTAGGTAGTTTGACCAGAGGAGGATGGGTCCCCCCTTGTGAGCCTTGGTTCCTCCTAAGGTTTCTTCCTCAGCTCTGAGGGAGTTTTTCCTTGCCACTGTCGCCGCTGGCTTGCTCACCTGGAGGATTTACATCTCATGTTAAAACTTTGTCCTTTTCTGTGAAGCTGCTTTGTGACAGCATCAGTTGTAAAAAGCGCTATACAAATAAATTTGACTTGACTTGACTTGAAGTCAGAGGTTTTACACCCTGCCCATAACTGTCCTGTGTGCCTGTCTGTCTGTGTGTCCAGGCTGGGCGAGCAGTACTACCGAGATGCCATGGAGCAGTGCCATAACTATAACGCTCGCCTGTGTGCGGAGAGGAGCGTGAGGATGCCCTTTCTGGACTCTCAGACAGGCGTCGCCCAGAGCAACTGCTATATCTGGATGGAGAAGAGGCACCGAGGGCCAGGTACTACACACACACACACACTGCTACACACAGGGTCTGTTTCCCAGGCAGAGATTAAAGGAATCAAATTTACACAATATTCCTCTTACCCTGCGTGTGGTCAGTCATACAAGGCATGTTTATTGTAGATTTTGTTTCTTTAGTTCAGCACTGGTGCTACGAGGCTAACCGTTCTAACAAATATTAGACATCCATAGTCACCCAGATCTTTCCTGTTAATAAAAACCTCTCTCAGCCCCCATCCAGGTCCTTATTAGGGTAATGCAGACTTGCTGATGTAGTTTGGAGCACAGAATAACTCAGAGTGAGCTTTAAAAATGAACAGGGAAGTGGTGTGTAGGGGGTATTGATGGCACTTTATCACAAAAATCAGTGAAAAAATAATTTACTTAACAGACGAAAAGAAATATGAAATGTTTTCAAATGGTAAACAATGTTAATACAAGCCCTGCAGCTACAACACACCAAGGCAGCTTGCTCGGTTTTATCTCCTGTCTATAGAAACAAAATGCTCCCCCCGACTTTTCAGTTATCCACTTGCGAGTGACTAATGTGAATTTTAAAAAAAATGTGTTGAATTATTTTACATAATTTGCCACGATTTTGTTTCTGGTTTCTGATGTAAAACAAGCTTACATTCACCTTATCTACTCTTTTCTGTTTACTGATACATAAAATAGTACATAAGGTATGTCTGCTATAACATAGCTGTGTTGAAAATGGAAAGTTTAAGTGATGATTTGTTTTTCCTGTGGGCTGTCACGCTGGTAAATATATGACTTCTGAGGTGGAAACGGTTGAGAACCCCTTTTTTTAAACCACACTGACAACCGCAACCTTAAGAACGACCTGGATTCATTTTGAGTGGGTTGGGAGAAGTTTTGGGGATGTAGTTTTACGGTGGGTGACTATTGACTTCTAGTGCTTGTCATCAACGTTAGCCTTATAATTAAGAGCTGAAGTTACATTTTCCCTTCAGGTGAGAATCTCAGAGTTGAAAAATACCTCAACACTAATCCCCTTTCTGTGTGTGAAGGTGTGGCCCCGGGGCAGTTGTATACGTATCCAGCTCGTCGTTGGAGAAAAAAGAGGAGAGCTCATCCCCCTGAAGACCCTCGACTGGCTTTCCCGTCTCTAAAGACAGGTACTCACTCCTCAGCGTGTGTGTGTGTGTGTGTGTGTGTGTGTGAGCTTCTGAGAGACTCAGAAACCTACATGCGTTAACAAAGATAAAGTGAGGACAAACTCATTTTTGTGTATGTACTTGTTTTCCTGCATGTTTGAGATGGATGTCCCCACTAGGAGAGTAAAACAAGTGTGAAATTCCATTGAGGACTTTTTGCTGCCCTCATTTAAAAAAAAATTTAGATCTGAAGAAAGATGCTGCTTTTCAGTGCCCTCGCATGCAATATTGGGCCGTATACCTTTTCATCTTCTATACTGCTTGATTTTCCTTCCTCCGATGTAAGTTTTGTTATAACCATTATATCGGTATGCCACAAATTAGCACGGAATACGTGATGTAGAAACAGCGTGAACAACGCTAACGTTATCCCCTTTAGCTGAATGGTTAAGCCAGGGATGTTTTAAGCCTTGCTTCAAATGGAAGTATAAACACAGTGGACCCTTGATCACCTCCCGCTGTCTAGTCCATCACAGCTGAAGTGGTCCACTTTGTTTCTGAGGCAGCGGATATAAAGGAATGGCTGGTGTTTTGGGGTTAGCTTTAGCTGTTTTCTCTTCTGTTTTCTTGTCTGGTGCTGGAGGAGCTGCCTGATTCTGTAGTTTCATTTGGTGAATATACGAGCAGAGGTGATTCATGACTCGAGAGCTGCCATGTCAAAATATTTCCAGGAATGCAGCACAAGCTTTTAGTGAGGAATTCCCACTTTATGCAGACAACAGAGACTCGGGCTCCATTTACACCAGTGGAGAATTCTGCCCCTTTCAACAAACTTAAGCGTTTATTTTGTGTCATTCATAATTACAGTGAACTCATTGCCATTTTTGTGATTGCTGGACTCTGGTGACTATTTTTAGTGTGAAAAATGCGTTTTCAAGTTTAGCAGATTTCAAGAAAAAAATTACGGCAGGCGCAGGACGAAGTGGTTGATGTGGAACGAAGTGGTTGATGTGGAATGACGTGGATGATGCAAACAGCACTATGTATGATTTTTGTTAAAATTGAAAGAAGTAGCATAACAGTGTGGGGGGGGGGCAGGCTAAAATATGGTGTGTGTGCAGCTGCAAGTTGCCCTGTAAAGCCTGAAGTCAGAGGTGTCGGGTTGGGAGTTTTTCGGACTATATCACACATCTTTACGTATAACCGTCTCACACAGGCTCAAAAAGAGGGTCAGACTCGATGTTTAAGTCTCAAATGCAAAACCATCGTTATACTGATGAAGGTATGATGACAATAGAAGATAATTCTCTCGCATCCTCAGAAGACACGTCCTTCCTTCCTGAGTTTTGTCCGAGTTCTCGTTGCGAGTGCGTTGAAAGATAATTCAATCATCAGATTCATCCGCTAGCAGAAGGAGTCCAAAGCAAAGCCCAAGTTAAATGTTTTTCAGCAAGTTCTGTGTAATAACATTTCCACCAAATCCCCAGAACTTCCACAGTGCAGCTTTAAGCAGATGTGAGCTGTACCGCTTTTTACCCCATTGACTTGTTTCATAGTTAAAAAACAGCACTGGCCGTCGTCTTGAAGCCTGGATTTTGTCCAGTTTTCAGTCATACAGTGAGGTATGCTTAAATCTGGACCTGAAGAAGGACTTGCATTCACTCTGTTAATGTGTTTGTGTTGTGTAGAGTTGGACCTGGGGCTGAAGAAGGACGTGCTGAGCTCCAGTGATGGCAGCAGTCTGGAGGCTCTGCTGAGGGGAGAACCGCTGGAAAAAAGATCAGCGCTGGACGTTCGCCCTGCTGACGAGGAGCCACACACAGAGTTCTCTAGTGGAGGACTCAACCCGGCTACCAGAGTTAGGAAGGTAACACACATAATAGTATAAAACCGATTCGGTTGTAGATACACGTGTAAAATGATTCCAAATAATGCAGTTTGAAATGTTGTTCAACATACATTAAGAAAACTTATTATAAATCTAGCAAGAAGTTCTAAAAGTAACTGAGAATGCTGCATAACATTAAGAATTAAGTCATATGGAAGTTAATATCTAGAACAGCTCATATTTTACAAGTGGCGATCAAATCCCTAGGCAGAAAACTGCTACCACAGTTGGAGAGTTAACATTTAGAAGCCTAAAATCGGCAGGCTGAGCAAATCTTTATATTTCTGATTTTTCAGTTTTTCACATTTTTACTGAAAAAAACAACAAAAAAGAAGTAATCCCTACTTTGATTGGATCTGCTGGATGGTGTATTCAGTTCTCATATGGCATGTTGTTAGAAAGCTTAGCATCTCTAGTTTAAGGTTAGGAGGGTACCGTGTACAAACAAACAGACGAAGGAATGAACCCTCTTGTTGATTATATTCATAGAGAATTTTGGAACCTGATGACTTCCTGGATGATCTGGATGATGAAGACTATGAGGAAGATACCCCAAAGAGACGTGGCAAAGGAAAGGGAAAGGTGAGATTTAAATCTAGTTGTTTTCAAAACTCTTATCAGAAAAGTAAAAACTGTTCTTAATGTAAATTTCCGTTACACAATTTCTATTAGTGCATTGATCATGAAACGTTTTTTGGAAAGAACAAAAAATCAATGTGAAGTTTTCTTGAGTACACCGTTGTGCTTGCCTAGAATTATTTTAGAATAAGTGCAAAATTTATGAGAGATTTTTCTAATTTTATGTTAAAGCTGCACTGTGTAAATTTTGGGGGGCTGGAGGAAACGTATATTGCATTGTGGTGTTAATGTGTAATTGCAAACTAGAGGTGGGCGATGTGGCGAAAATGTAATATGAAGATACTTCAAGAAGTTTTCACGATACACAGCATGTCAGTGCCGCATAAGAAAAGCCTAACAATGAATACATTGATTTAGATTCAATATTTCATGTACTGTGCTGCACTAAATCCAATAAAACAGGACAAATTACACTCTTTGTTATCCACCATGCAGTTGGGAAGTCCTTGAAGTACTGCCGACGTCCATAATATGCTCAGAAAGGCATATTGTGACATAATTTGATGTAACTTATCATGATAATGTTAAATATAGTCCTCCTGCATGCCAAATGCAGAACATTTTGTGAGAGGGTCGTGCTTTGGACCCTTCCCCGAGTGGATAAATCTGATGACTTTGAGCTCAAACTTCAGTTTGCTGACGCAATCACCAAATAAGTGAACGCAGTGCTTGATTTCCAAGCTATCATTGAATAAATATGACGTTCTCTGTCTCCCAATTGAGATGTTAAACAGTGCTGCAAACTAGAAGGCAGCTGGTTAGCATAAGCTTAGCTAGCATGATAACAGTTCTGTTTAAGTGATGATTCAAACCTTGGAGAGTGAAGTTGAGCAGCTGGTGTTGAGAGGAAAGGTGTTGTGGTTGGTATAGTGCAGTGGGTAACACCTCTGCCTTCTACGCTGTAGACTGGTGCTCAGTCCCCACCTAGATAACAGCGTCTGCTAAATGCCGTAAATGTAAATGTAAAGGACAGAAAGCCAAAATTAAACCTGTTCTCTGGTGTTTGGATCTGTAGCCTGATCGGCTTCCTTAATGCTAGTTTATAGAGCAACTGCAGACACAAACAGTGCCACACGCCACAGCACGGGTTTGATTCTGACTAACTGCTGCTCTGCTGAAACAAGTTTAGGTGCTAAAACCTCATGTCTGAGAGAGCAAAAGTCAAGTGACTGGTGTCGACTCAAATCGAACCTGTTTTGTGGTGTTTGGAACTGTAATGCATTGGCTAAGCTAACAGTAGCTTAGTTAGCAGGTCAAACGTCCTGCATACCACAGCACAGGATTGATTCCAGCTAATTGATGCTAAAATGCTATTTAGAGAATATCTGAGAGCACAAGTCGAGTGACTGGTGATGGAGTGAGAACTGAAATTGAGCTTGTTCTGTGGTGAAGCTCTTAGTCGTTGCTGAGTTGCTGCTACGCTTAGTTTTTCTGAGGTTTTCCTGGCTTTGATTTTTGCCCTTTATCTATCAGCACCGCCGATCAGTGAGCTCCCACACCGCTGATCAGTGAGCTCCCACACTACCGATCAGTGAGCCCCTCTAAAATATAATGGGTGGAATGTGTTCATTTGGCCGTTCAGATGCTGAATAGAAGTTTTGTCATAATTTTTAGATCCTGTCATCATTTTTAAATACTGCCATAATTTTTAAATACCACATATCTTATTATTATACCACCCAGCCAAGTCTTACTGTATCTTTAAAATGTGATATGTATTAAATGTATACTGTGGATCATTGATCATTGATGTCTAGCATTGACTATGTCAGCTATAATGGTGGTCTTCCTCTCCGTAGGGGCGGGGCGTCAGCAGCGCTCGCAAGAAGTTGGATGCAGCGGCTGCTCTGGAGGATCGGGACAAGCCGTACGCCTGCGACAGTGAGTCAGACAATTATGGGATATTTTATTGTTGCTGTTATCCCAGTGATTCATTGCAGTGTGTAAGGTTTTCTGTTTATTCATTTATTTTGATTTAATAAGGTAAATTTTAATTTGTCTCTCAAACAAAGAATGTAGAAACAACTCAGATATCCATTTTTTCCTGTTTGTGTGGCAGGCTCCACCCTATCTCTTTCTGCATCTTTCTGTCTGTTTCCGTACTTCTTCATAACGGAAAAGGCCAGGCCCAAATTTCTAAATCTGATCAGTCTTTGAGTTAATGTTGCGCAGTGTATCTAAAATTCTGTAAACACTACATTAAGGTTATATACTAATTTGCACATGCTGATTCGACTCAGATGGACAGCGGTTGCCGTTAGCAAAACAAAAACAGCATGTCAATTTTATCAATATTGTATTTCCTCATCTTACTGTCAAATCTGCCCCCAAAACATACTCAGGTCATGTTAAATTTATGTAGGTACTTCATTTAAGTAAAATTTTCAAGCTTTATAATTATACAAACTTTGTGTTCAGTCTAGAGGTGGGTGTAATTGCAGAAATATAAGACAAAACTTGATGCTTACATGATACACAGTGCATGTCATTACATTTTACTGCAGTTGGTTTGAAAAAAAGGACCTGAAATACTTAATAAAAAAAAATCTATGAAATTTGCATTTGTATTTAAATTGTATTTAATGTTTCACATCAATTATGCTCTTTTGTAATGAAGTATGCAGTTGTTCACTGTTCTAGAAGTACTCTTAAAAATGAAGCTTCTTCAAGGGTTCTTTACTAAAGAAAATGGTTTCTGTATAGAACAAGGAATACTCAAAGAACCCTGTGCATGCTTAAATGGTTCTTTGCATGGTTAAATGGTTTTTCAGACTGATGGAGCTGTAGATGGCTTTTTGAAAAGGGTCTGTATAGCGCTCAAAGGGTTCCGCAATTATCATGTCAAGCCTGTAACAACAGAAGAACCCTTTTTGTTGCTATATAGAACCATTTTCAAACCGGTTCTATTTAGAACCATCTGCAGCACATTATCCATTAATCTGAAAAACTATTAAACAGTGCAAGGGTTCTTTGAGTGTTCATAGTTCTATATAGAACCATGTTCTTTGCTAAAGAACCCTTAAAGAACCTTCATTTTTAAGTATGTACAGATGATATCTTTGATATGCTCAGAAAAGTTTATGGCGACACAATTTATCATGATAACGATGGACGTTGTCATATTGCCCACCCCTAATTCAGCCTGATTAGTATTGGATGTTTAGGCAAATGTTAATTTGTACTCTAGTATCGTTTCGGTATCAGTGTAATATTATTATTATGATGCTACACTTGGTAATGATGAAGTCCAAATTCCGGTATTATGACTACCTTATATTGAGCACATTCTTGACTAATATGGACTCTAGTGTTATATTTGGGGTCAAGATGCTAATTGTTTAGCAAAATACCAGCTTTATTGAGAAACAGGCCAAATCTTGAATTACTTGTGTGTCAGTTTGCACAGTTCGCCATTCACTCATCTCTCATCACAGTAATCAGTGAAAGTTGTGTGTGGTGATTTCAGGTGGGTCATTGTTTTCAGAGTGTTTTCTCTCTGCGTCTCCCTTAAATGTGTCATGATGCTGTGATAACTTTCTTTTTCATTTTTCTTTTTTTGACTTGATCATTTTATTTCTCTTAATTTCTTGATTCTTAGTGTCAGTCTGAGTCTGTCTGTTTTCTCTCTCTATTTTTCTCTCTTTCTCTTTATGTCTCTTTCTCTCTCTTTCAGACACTTTCAAACAAAAGCATATTTCAAAAACTTCTGAACGAGGTATATTTCTCTCTCTCTTCCCTTTTTCTCCCCTCCGCCTTTTTCTGCTCATTGCTTGTTCTCCCCCCCCTCATTTTTGTTTCCCTTTTATTTTGTGAACGTGCTTGTTTTGTTTTACATACACTGTTTGTCTATATACATCTACAGCTTGCCAGCCATTTGTGTTTTGGAGACCGCACTGTAGCTTAGAAATCTTTAGAAATAGAAATTTATTTCTTGCAGAACCAAGAGTTGAGTGTGTATTCCCTCTAGGGCTGCACGATATGGACGTAAAGCTGTTGGGTATCACAATGACGATATGAGAAGCGATAAGTAATGTTTAAATGGTGTGTGTCTAACTGGCTGTGCTGTAAGGAAGCTGAACAAGAACACAGTAGCCACGTTTACATGCAGCCTGATAATCCATTAATAATCTGACTAATAGCTCAATCGGAATAGACTAGTCCGATTGAGGCCATTCGGAATACAGCATCTATCCGATTTTTACTCTGTTAAATCGTAGAATAATAGCTGTATATACGCCTGTATCTGATTACATTCCCAATCTGAAAGTCTAAGTACGTTCTGATCATGTTCGTCACGTGGGACGGACGACCATCTTATGTGTCTCAGAACACGACTTTAATAAGGACATGTGAAGGACGTTTTCCTGAGTCTGACATCATTTTAAAGCAATTAAAACACAAGTGCTGCTCATCTCACTCTGATTGGACTCACGTGATGCTCATTGTCATGGTAACGTCTACACTCAAGTGGCACTTTACGCATGCATGTAAGTTTGGATCGGATTACTTGTAGTGAGCATGCAGGCGGAGATTTTCCATCAGATTGTTGAGCAGAGTGAGCATAAATACCTCAATCTGAATCTATAATCGGAATTTATTCAATCGGATTGGCAAACGTCTTCGCATGTAAACACAGCCAGTGTCACTGATGTGAAGCACTGCTCTTAGGAAACTTTAAAAGCTTTTGCCCCTTGTGGGGGGATTTATACCTGGTGCACCGTGAGATTCAGTCTTAAAATGATTGCTTGATCAGTGTTTTCTGTTCGTGTTCAAAGTCAGGCTTTAGACACAAATAAAAAAAAATTGTATATTTATATGTTAGTTTCCGTATAAAGAAACAAATACATATTTAATTACTTAAAGATTCTCTTATGATGATGCAGATTTGTTGTGACAGTAGCAATCACTGCTTCATTCATTTTACTGTACAGGTTGTACATTTTACACACAACACAAAGTGAGAATACTCATTACGTTTTAAGCAATTTTCAGGCGTCAGTTTGGGATAAAATGTGCAGATGGGATTTTAGCTAATTAGTGAAGTTACTCCATCATGTTGGAGAGCAAGAGAGCACTTTTTGGGCTTTTTTGATGTCACGGTGGCGCTGTGCATGAAGTAATTTGATACATTCTGTCACCCCTTAGCGCTGTGTGTATCAGGGAAACATATATCGCAATAGCGCAGGTTAAATTTTATCATGCAGCCCTAGTTCCCACAATCCACATCACTTCTTAGCAAACCAGTAGCTACTTAACTCCTTGAATCTCAGAGTTACTACTGAGCTATTAATCTTACCCCTTTACTGCACACATTATGAGAGCAATTTAAAAAAATTCAATTCACTTTTCTAACATAAAATGGTCCTCGATTTTTTTTTCAGATTTGATTATTAAATTCCAAAAACGTTAAAAAAAATGTATGCAGGGGTCCTTTTAGAATATGTTGCCTTGAAGCAACATTGTGTGAGAATGGTATTTAATGATATAGAGCCGTATCCCCTGAAGTGGGGAGACCTGGCTTGTGACCGGCCTAGTCCATTCCACTGTCGCACAGCGTTGCTTCTAGGCAACAAACCTATTTCTGCAAAATCTCATAACAATTGATACTGAATGTTAAAAAAGAGGTTTAAATGTGCCCAATAAGAGATAGTATGACCAAGCACATGCTTGTATTGACTTACTCAAACTCTTCCCTTTATTGTTAATCCTGACATTGTTTTTAAATATGTATAATGTTGTTTGTAAAGTGAGGAAAATGAGTTTGTTGCTCTGAAGCAACGTTGTGCAATAGAGGGTTAAGACTTATTATTCAGTAACTGCAGTGAATTCTTCAAAAACTGCTATCAAACTAAGATCTAAGTTACTTAAATATGTGCCCACATATGAATCTTTGTAAAAATTACTGTTTTTTTATTAGTTATTTTTTATTATTTTACTAGTCCTTTAAAGTTAGTCTGTAAACTGCAGTGAAATCACAGCTGCTTTGGAGCTGTTTGACATTCTTTGAGGCCGTGGGCATGTTCAGGCAGGAAACAGAGTCAGCACAATTTCAAAACCGGTTCCTCAGTCTCTTCAGAGGCGGCCCCCACCTCTGCTTTAGTTCCTGCAAGACTGCCTACTTTCTCACACTTCCTCTGTCCTTGCTGTTGTATGTAGAACAGTTGAATACTTTATTTGTGACTGTTCAGGTTAATAATGTTAACGTTGGGGCTGCAGCAATTAGATTATACATAAATGTTGACATGGATTTTATTGCTAACATGGTAAGCATATAATTGCATGCTCCATAATGCATTATAATGTTCATTACGATACATGTGGTCATTCCCAGCAGTGTTAAAGGAAGTGTAGGGCGTGATTGCTTCCGTTATTGCACAGAACCACAAAAGAACCCACAAACGGATTTTTGAATGATTGTCACGAAGTAAGATGAACCAAAGGAGGCGTAGTAGTTAGTTGGCTCAGTAAAAATAACAGTAAGTCATGTAGAAGGGTTTAGTTGCAGCCCCATTTAACATAAATCAGTGCAGCTTGTTTGTGCATGATGGTTTACATAAGTGGTTCTGCCAAAATTCAGATTTACACAATTGTCCACCGACTCCAGAGATAATGGACCAGCCAAGTGTTGAAATTTTGCTTCTTGGGTTTAAGATTGGAGCTATGAAGCTAACGTTGCTGATAAACACTAGAAGTCACTAGTCACCCAAATCAGTTCTGTAAATACGTCTTCAAAACTTCACTCAGCCACCTCAAACCACATCCAGGTTTTCATTAAGATCGCACAGACCTGTTGATGTGGTTTAGGACACAGTTTGACCTGCTGTGAAGTTTTTTTATATTTCACAGTAAGTCAGATTGTGTGCTAAACCACATCAGTGTGGTAGTGCAAAAGTATCATTGTGAGACTGAGACACGTTTACGATGCGAGTCATGATATTCTTAAATACAGACATCTTGCCTAAAAACTTAAAAACTGGCATTAAAACTCCACAATGATTGTTAGTCAACATGTCGCACACTGCACTGTGCTCTGAATTCGGTTAAAAAGGCCTGATTATATTTTATAATAAAACACATTTGGTCAGTGTTTTACGGAAGCCCAGAGAGGCCATGAGGTAGTACGAATTTTCTGGATTGTTATCTTGAGATCACGAGTTAATTATCTTGAGGACACAAGATAATTATCCTGAGATAATGAGTTAATTATCTTGTGACATCAAGATAAGTTATCTTGAGGTAATGAGTTAATTATCTTCTAACCTTAGGAGAACAGTAATCTTGAGACAACGAGTTGATTATCTTGTGATCTCAAGATAGGTTATATTGAGTTAATGACTAGATTATCTTCTGACCTCAAGATAAGTTGTCTTGAGATAGAGTTAATTGTCTTCTGACCTTAGGAGAACAGTTATTTTGAGACAAGTTAATTATCTTGTGATCTCAAGACAAGTTATATTGAGTTAATGACTTATCTTGTGACCTCAAGTTATCTTGAGATAAGTTAACTATCTCGTGACCTCAAGGTAAGTTATCTTGAGATAACGAGTAAATTACTTTGTGAGCTTAAGATAACAAAGTTGTTATTTTGAGAAGTTAATTATCTTGTGATCTCAAGATAACAACTCGTTATCTTAAGATCACAATCCAGGATAATATAACAATTATAGCAACAGCTCATGGCCTCCCCAGACGTCTGTAGTGTTAAGTATGGATGATAATCATAATCATGCTGAGAACCAAGTTGTTTATCACAATAACAAAATTTATCACAGTATATTTGATTACTGCTCACTTCTAATGAAGACATGGACGCGGTTTGAGTGGGTTGAGGGACGTTTTTGGGATGTATTTGCTGAAAAGTCTTGGTGTCTGTTGACTTCTAGGGTTTGTTAGCTACGTTAGCCTGTAGCTCCAGCACTAAACTAAAGAAACAAAGCATATCTTGGCTGATCAGCTACATCTGGGGTAAGTGGGGGATCATTTTGCTGAGCCATTCCTTTAAACATGCAGAGTTAACCACTGACCTCGTGGATTTAATGGCCTGTGTACGCCACGTCCTCCTGTAGTGATCGGCATGATTAACTCAGCGTCAGCATGAGAAACAGAGAATGTAAGCGAGTGGTAACTAATTAACTCTGGCTGATTTGTGTGATTCTTACCGCCCCCGACTTGCTCTCATTCTTTATTCGGCAACATTAGCATTTTCACATTTAGCCTTAGCTGCTATGCTGAAATCCACCCTCCCACCCTCCTTCATTGTCTTTTCTCTCTTCCCTCCCTTCCTTCTCCTATTTCCCCTTTTACTCTGCAGATCATCCTGTATGTGCTTTTTTCAGTTCTGTCTTTCTGCTTCTCGTTGCTGATATTCATCCCTTCATTCTGGGTGTCTGTGCTCCGTTCTCCCTCCCATCCCTTCTTCAGTCCTCTGCGTAGAGTGAAATAGAGCCTCTGCTTTTGTTTTGATTTGCCGTAAGCCTTGTTCGGTTCGACTGAATGGATGTGCCGTTTAAGAATTAATGGTTTGCTCTCTTTTTATGCTTGAACATTTATGGATTTAGCTACACTTAAGGCAGCTTACAGTGCTTTGTGATGGTGTCAGAGAAATGCTGCTATTTCAGCGCAGTAGGCTACGAGGTAATATGTGTCACAGAGTGCAAGTGTGTGGGAAGAGGAAGGTTTGTATGAGAGCATCAGAGTTGGAGTGGAATGAATTGTGTGTTAAGCAGATGAGTGAGTTAATGAAAAGGTTTGAAGAGTTAAGTAATAAGGAAGGAAAGAATTAATGAATTAATAGAAGAACTGACTGTGTGAGATTAAAAATAGATGGAAATCCATGTGAAATTGACATGAGACATGGTGAATTGTACACATTTACATTAGAATAGTGTTTTAAAATGAAACAGCGATATATATATATATATATATGTGTGTGTATATCGCTGTTGTCAGAATAAAACCTTGTATCTCCAAAATGATAACTTTACAGGAGAAGGGAAAAAACATACTTTTAATGTAAGTCAATGGAACCAGACTTTTTTCATTTTGGGCCGTTTCTTTTAGTCCATTCATCATGAAATTTACACACAATGTAAACAACAGGCATTTTCAGATTATGTCAAAAACGTAAAAAAATGACAAAAATGGATGAAAGTTTTCTTCCGACAGCAGCGTGGGGAGATAAATAGGTGTGTGTGTGTGGTGTGTATATATATGTATATATATATTATGTGTGTGTGTGTGTGTGTGTGTGTGTGTATATATATATATATATATATATATATATATCACACACTATATCTATATATACACACACACACACACATTACTATGTACAAATAAATTAATGTGTGAATTGAGCCTTGAAATCTACCAAGTTCTACAGACGTTCACTTGTGTAGTGGTTTAAAGTGGCACATAAGAAAAGTGGATGAATGAATACATGAAATGAAGGTGAGTGCAGTTGAGCAAGGCAGTTCAAAGCGGTGACTAAAAGAGGGGTTAAGAATCTGCTGTGTGGGCTTCTGACTTGTACACTAGTATGAGTCGCTCTAGCCATGTGACTGGTCCCCCCCCCCCAAACCCTGAGGGAGGGAATGAAGATTGAAGTCTTTGTGCACCACATTAAAGGAATAGTTCTGTGAAAAATCATGTTTTCCCCTCTTACCCCAAATGTAGTTAGTCAGCCAAGACATGTTTGAAGTTTGCCTCTTTAGTTTTGCACTGACACTCTGAGGACAATGCAGCTAAGAAGTATTTGAAGCAGTATTTAGGTTTTTGACGCTGTATGACGTTCTCTTATCCATAAACATGAAAAAGTGTGGCTGAAATTGAGGCTTTGAGATGGCCCATACTTTTTTTTTAGCTGTGTGACATATGTGTCTGTTTTTACTGACAACACAATGCCTATTGGTATATATAAGCTTCCATTCCATGTTAGCTACATTAGCCTTGTAGTTCCAGTGCAGAACTGAAGAAGCAACTTTCAGACCTGTCTTGGTTTGACGGTGTTGATGAAGGAAAAAGAGAGATTTTTCACCAAACTATTCATTAAAAGCCAAATCCTTTGGGGCTTGGGGTCTGTTCTATCAAGACTAGTTGTAGGTTTACAGGTGCGCATGGTAGTTTTGGAGATGGGTTGTGAAATACCAGTGTCTGTATGAGTGCGTGATGGTACTTTTTGTGATCCGAGATACAAAGGTGAACAAAATCACATTATAAAGTGAACAATTCAACACCAAATGTTTGCTTGGAGATAATGTTAAATAGAAAGTCTGCTTGTTTATGTGTGCAGTATGTGGAAAGCGCTACAAGAACCGGCCGGGACTGAGCTACCATTACGCCCACTCTCACTTAGCCGACGAGGAGGGAGAGGACAAAGAGGAGCCGGAGCTTCCGCCCCAGACTCCACCCCCGCCGGAGGAGCCTAAGAGTGAGTAGCTGAATAATATCAAGTTGATTAGCAAATTTGAAAGATGTGCGTATCACTGTTGTCGGAGCAAAACCTCGTATCTCCATTTTTGTTGTTTATTTATTTATTTTTTTCAGTTTTGACATAATGTGAAAATGTTGGCCTTTACATTGTGTGTAAATTTTATGATAAATGGATCGAATGAAATGGTCCAGAAATACTTGGAAAAGAGTCTGGTTCCATTGACTTGCATTAAAAGTAAAGTATGTTTTTTTTCCCTCTCCTGTAAAGTTACCTTTTTGGAGATACGAGGTTTCGGTCCGAAAACAGCGATAGATATACTTTAATACTAAAGCGTGACTTTATCACAGTGAGGCAACACACCATGCTGCGCTAGTAAGAGTCCTTGGGCAAGACTCTTAATGCTACATTCACCTACATCTGTAACATAAAACTGTAAGTCGCTCTGGATAAGAGTGTCTGCCAAATGTGTAAATGTGATAGAAAGCCCATTGTCATATCTCTGCATTGTACATTGTCACACTTTTGTATCGCAGTATCACAGTGTCACGATAATCACTGTGTTGTTGGTATTGTGAGTTACCTTGAAAAGTAATTCAAATGCCAATAAAGGTGTTGTTACTTCTCTAATTTGCGTGGTTATATTGGTTTAACATGAGACATTGAATCTTGTTTCTGGTTGTTATCAGCCCCGAAAAAGGGTCCAGACGGTTTGGCCCTGCCCAACAACTACTGTGATTTCTGTTTGGGCGATTCCAACATGAACCAGAAAACCGGCCAATCAGAAGAGCTGGTGTCCTGCTCCGATTGCGGCCGCTCCGGTATGAAACACACATACAGTTGCATGCAAAAGCAACCCCAGTCAAGTTTCACTTCATTTCAAGATTTTCACTCTACAGGGAACAAACTTAAATATAGCATTTTTCTGCAGATTTTAGTCCCAGTTTCTATTTAGTTGCTGAGTTTAACATATTGGGGAAAAAGAAACAAAATACAAAATGTGGTGTAACTTTTGCTCAGAATATATTTTGTGTTATGTTCCCTGCAGTATTTTACATCAGCAGATAAATGGGAATTGAGCATTAAATGGTGCAGAACTGTGTTCACTTATTTGCACTTAGAAAATCAACAAAACTTGTTTTGATGAATTAAGGTGTTGCAACAAAAGCAAATGTTTTGGTCAAAATGAATCAAAATTAATCTTTAGCTGTGCTGTGTTATTGATTGTGTTTTGGTTATATTGTGCAGCTCTACTAAGTTAGTGGTCAGTTGATACTTACTGGCTTTCATTGTTGTTGTTGTTGTTGTTGTTGTTGTTGTTAATGTTAATGTTGTTGTTAATGTTGTTGTTGTTTTGTTATTATTATTTCGATTATTATTATTATTAGTTTACAATTTTCCTTATTTCTGACTTGCTCACTGTTGCTCTCTCACTTTGCTGCTCTCTCTTTCTCTTTCTCTTTCTCCTTTACCCTTTCATTCTCGTTCTGCAGGTCATCCTTCCTGTCTGCAGTTCACCCCAGTGATGATGGCGGCGGTGAAAACGTACCGCTGGCAGTGCATCGAGTGCAAGTGCTGCAACATGTGCGGCACGTCAGAGAACGATGTACGTTTGGTGCACTGGTACATGCAAACCACACATGCCATTGATGTAATATGTTTCAGTGCTTGTGACTTTCATCTTTGACTTTAATGGTAAAATGGTTAGCTAGATGCTGTATTATAAGTCCAGTGTGCACCACTACATTGAGCTATTCCACTCTGTGTCCACACAGTAGAAACTTTCACAACTGTCAAAAATGTCTGTGTAGATGACAGGCAGACGTGTTCTGTCCAGTCAGTAGAAGTTTCAGCAAACTAGCTCATTAAACACTAATACCACACATCAGTTCTGACCTTAATCCAGGTGTAATGTGGGTTATGTAGTATTTTACACTCATTACATGCGCTTCTCCACAGGACCAGCTGCTGTTCTGTGATGACTGCGACAGGGGGTATCACATGTACTGCCTCAACCCGCCCATGTCTGAGCCCCCTGAAGGTAATAATGTGCAGAATTACATAGTGAGACGTGGGGCTGCATGAACATAAAATGCAGTGTTTGGGACATCATGACGACTATATGAGAATGATTAAATTATTATTAAGATAGTGTCCCTCTGACTGGATGTGCTGCAAATACAGCTTTTTTCCTTCCCTCACTATCTACTTTTCACTGTTGGGCAAAAGAAGTAGGCATTTTGATCCCTTGTCACTGTGACGCTCAACAGTTTGTTTATCTCAGAAGCTTCTATCGCAATATATATAAATGAATGTTCTTATGCCTCTTTAGTGTCGGGAGCTATAATGACCTTGATTTACACCGATCAGGCATAACATTATGACCACCTCCTTGTTTCTACACTCATTGTCCATTTTATCAGCTCCACTTACTATATAGGTGCACTTTGTAGTTCTACAGTTACAGACTGTAGTCCATCTGTTTCTCTGCATACTTTGTTAGCCCCCTTTCACTCTGTTCTTTAGTGATCAGGACCCCCATTGACCCTCACAGAGCAGGTACTATTTGGGTGGTAGATCATTCTCAGCACTGCAGTAACACTGACGTGGTGGTGTGCTAGTGTGTGTTGTGCTGGTACGAGTGGATCAGACACAGCAGTGCTGCTGGAGTTTTAGTAAAAAGTATCAGAGAAACAGATGGACTACAGTCTGTAACTGTAGAACTACAAAGTGCACCTATACAGTAAGTGGAGCTGATAAAATGGACAATGAGCGTAGAAACAAGGAGGTGGTCATAATGTTATGCCTGATTGGTGTAAATTGCAATACAGTTTTGTTTGATGATAATGAAAAGCTTGGGGTGTTTTAAACTTGGTATGTCCTCTAAAGCAGCTTTAGTCTCTGTTTATCTTTTTATTCCTGGTTTTGTTGACAGTTTAAAGTTTTAAAGTAGTTGTATGTCTTGAATGTAAATGTCTAGTAGAAGCGCAGTGCACTCTAAACTATATATTATTATTATTATTATTATTTATTTTTATTTATTTTTTCCAGTTAAATTTGCTTTTTCGTGTTCTGTCTTGCTAATAACCACACCACAATAAACCTTTTGTGTTCTTTAGGTTTCATAATACTGTTCTGACTTCAAACTTAGCATTATATTAAATGATATGGAAAAACATATTGTGTTAAGATATTTGATTAGCTCTGATATTCAGTTATTTAAAATGTATATGTATATACATATGCGCTAATAACGAGCTTATGTCTTTTGTTTGCTCTGCAGGAAGTTGGAGCTGTCATTTGTGTTTGGACCTGCTGAAAGAGAAGGCGTCCATATATCAGAACCAGAATGCTCCCCCGTCGTGATGGTCCCACTGGAAACACTGACCCTCTGTTCTCGGTTCCCAGCTATTAAAGTGGCCACTCAGTGAGTGAAGGAAGGGAGTTGAACTAGAAGTGCTGGGGACCAGAAAAGGGAAGCATACTTAACCGAGCCCCATACCTATGGAGAGAGGGAGGGATGAATGGAAAGAGAAAGAGGGAGCGAGGAAAAGGGTCCTTCCTCTCTCCAGTACTTTCCTCTCACCTCTTGGCAGGTTTGATCCCAATATGACTGTTACACAGTTCCAAGTTTCAGACTACCCACTGCTTTTTGTTTTCAACTATTAATCTCGAAACGATTATTAACTAATAAAACACACAACCTACGCTGTCAGACTAACAAGCAACTCTTCATATTACTCTGTCGTCAAAGCACACCTTGGTTGAAGATTATGAGAATATATGACTCTGTTTTTGAGTTCCTGCTCATAGTAGACCCACCCACCACTCAGCTAGTCAACAATAAGCAACGAAATAGCTTCGTATTCGCCAAACTCCACGCCAGCTTACACAACATATCCGGACTATTCTTCATAACAGTGTTGTGTTTCTAGCAGGCAGTAATAGTTGAAACCAATCAGCATGCCAATGCTTGTTCATAATAAGAGAAATGGTAGCGTGTTTTTTTGTATATTTATATATTTGTATAGCGTATAAAGGTGTGATGTATTTAAAACGTGGAATGATAAAAGTGGCTGGTTATTATTTTAGCGGTATTAAGGCTATTCCTTCATGCGAAGTCTTGCATCTTTCGCAAATGCCATCAACGCATGTGTGCTCCACCACGTTCAATCGTTTTAAAAGTGACCTGTACTTTATAGTTGAGGAGTGGTTGTGAACGGTAACGTTCTTGGAGTGAGCCTTCTTCATTGCTTTTTAACTAATTCAAGAGGTCGTTGAATTAAATCTCTAACTGACCCTATTCTATCTGGAAGGTCCATTACACAGCCAGACCTGCCACAATCCTCAGCTAAAGGTATGGGCTTCTTAAAGGAATACTTCAGTGTCTTTTCAAGCTATCTAAACCTAAATCTGCTGCATCTGCAGCAAACCATCGGTTATCACAGTTGATTTGAACACCTTTCATTGTATTTAATAAAATAACCAACTTATTGACTCCATACTTACGATAGAAGCCAATGAGCAGATGCTGAAACACTCTTAAGTGTTTTTGGACTCAGTTGGTTTTCTGTTCTGTTTTATACTGTGAAACTGTTGTCCATGATAATCAATTAGATGCTTCAGCTGCAGCAGATATACACTACTGTGTAAAAGACAGAGACCTTTATTTAATTTCCAGTCAAAACACCTATTAAGTAAAAGTTCTTCATTTTTCAGTGAAGATTTGATATCAGATAATCCACTTGCGTAAGAAAGGAAACAGTCAGACACAATAAGTGACAAAAACAACAGGAGTTCAGAAAACTATTAAAAGCTACAGAGAAATTGGGACCCTGACAACCACGTGCAAGAGCTGACAGGCCACCAAAACTGTCCCCATCAGATAAACAGCACTTAAAGCTTTTATCTTTGAGAGAGGAGAAAGTCAAGCTGCTTCAGATCTGAAAACATCCACAGCCATCCATCCACTGTGAGAAGACAACTCAGTGCTGAGGGTCTGAAAGGATGTGTAGCTGTCAAGAAGCCTGGACATCTCAGAGTCCAGACCTCAACATCACTTAAATGTGTTTGGGTTCGTGAGAAGCAGAAAAAGCAACCAACTTCTAAGACTGAACTTCAGAGGTGTGGAAAAATATCCCTGCAGATTTCTTTGAAGAACTGAGAGAAAATCTCCTGAAAAGAATGGAAACTAGAAAAAAGGTGAAGAGGACACAGCAAATACTGATAGATTAGGTGTTGTATTTATTTGTTGAGGCTTCTGTTAAATGTTTTCTGCCTTTTTTCCTGATACGGATGATGAACCTGGCTGTTTTGACTGGATTCTCTCTGACTTTTGTACTGTAGATTAGGTTCAGTGTTGCTTGAGTGTCAAAGTGCTTGAGTATTCCTTTAAGGGTTCTAATTATTATAAAGGTTCCCAATTAGTGGTGTCTAGACTTGTTGAGTCTCTTTTGTAGGTGCAGGGTTTTTAACGTTTTGAAACAGCATTAAGATGTTCTAATTTATGAAAAAGATGTTATAATTACTCAATAACAATCATTGAATGAATTGACTGTCTTTTGTCGCCATTTTAGAGGTGCTTTAATGACCCCCTGCAACGTAAAAATGTAAAACGGCCCATTCGGTGTCAAACATTTTAATAAAAACAGGTTTGAGTAGATGGTTTACCTATGATAAGTCAAACAGCTGCCGATCCATTTCAAACCGGGAGTTATATAGACCCTATATAAACTTCGTTTTTTTAATTGAACCATTCTGCTGACTTCGCAAGATATAATATGTACTTTTGTATGATTTGATTGACAGGTCAGTTGGTGGAAATTGATTCTGAGGCAGTTCAGTCAGGCTGTAGCTGCTTACTTGCACCTAAAGGAAAAAAAACAAACATGGTTGGTGGGATTTAAGTCTCAGGTTGTCTATTTAGACTCAGTTATCCGTAGTGCTTTAGAGGTTGTTCAGTAATCGAAAACCTTCCCTTGACGTTGCATAACGTTTATCCTGTTATCAGCATATAGTAACTATCCACACATATATCCTCACTGTAAGAACAAAACTTCACATCTCAAAAACGGCAGCTTTACAGGTGAAAGTAAAAGCATTGCTCACCTTTAGTGCAAGTCAATGTAAGAAGGCTTTTTTCCCATTTCATTTTTGGGGCTTTTCTATTGGCCTAGTAAAATTTACACACGAAGTAAACCACAACTGGCATGTTTTTATATTCTGAAACAAAGGGAACATGACAGAAATGGAGATATGAGGTTTTGTTTTGACAGCAACGATATACAAACGTAACTACTGTTACTTTTGAGGGATTTTTCCTTTTTTATAAATAAATAAAAATAGAAATCAATGTGATCCTTTCAGATTTTGAGAGATTATTACCTGTAAAAGTTACATTTTATTTAATTCCCTAAATTTTTTAGTGGTTTCCAGGAATTATTTGTGGGGTTTTTTTTAGGTTTAGCTTACTATAAATTAATTTTGCTCAAGGATCAAATAATCTAATTAATTGTAATGTAGAATAATCAGTGGCTCAGGTGACACTGTGGCTACATTTGATCAAAATCAGTACGAAAAATTGAATTAATTAATGGTGTCACTCACCTTTGATTCTTAAATTCTGGATAACTGTTGAAAAGCCTTGCCGTGTTGTATGTGGTATGTCAGATCTTTGTTCCAGTCCAGGGCTGATGTGCAGAATGACTTGAAAGAAATTTCTCAGCCTTTAGAATGAACAGATCTGTGCGTCTAAAACCCTCTGTGCTTAGATTCTGGTATTCTTTGACTAGACAGATACTTCATAATCTGGCAGTACTCTGAGTACTTGCTTATAGCACCCGTCACTTTGACCGTATCCTAGTGTCATTTTACAGTCATAACTGCGTAACCATATGCATGTTTACCTGGTATCACCACTTATACAAGTACACTTGCTTTTATGCTCGCCTCTTGTTGCACTCACGTACTGGCACAGAAACGTTTTTGGGAAAAGTTTTGTAACTTAATTTAGCTCTGCGATTGTAATATCAGTAGCCAACTAACCATTATTAACAAGGTAAATAAAGGTAACTCAAGGTTTTTTTGTTTTTTTCTTTTGTTTCTAGAAAAGTGGCCATTCAAATATTCCATTTTTGCATATTTTGTCGATTATGTTTGCTAGATTGTTGGAAGACATTTTTAGGGGTTTACTTTGATTCATGATGGAATGTTTTGCTTTATGGTACAAGTTTTGATTGTTTTTTTTTTTTGTTTGTTTGTTTTTTGTTTTTTTCCCAAGGAAAATAAAACTATTTGGCACGGACTATTTTATGTTTATACTGTATCCATTTCACTGTTGCCTTCCCCTGTGTCTCTGTCACGTGTGCATACCTTTAAGGCTGAGACAGGCTAAATGTTTTTGTGTCTCCAGGTTCTTTCTGAAAAGTAATACACAGCCGTTAATACCAAATGCTATTTTCTTTACTTTAAGCAGATCTGGGTTCTCTGTATATGAAGCATGTAGTCATATGCAAAAGTTAGAACACCCCTAGTTTCTCTGATTATGAACACCCTCTACAGCAGTGGTTCCCAACCTGGTCCTCAGGACCACCCAGGTGGGAATCACTGCTCTAACATGCTTTAAGCTATTTGGGCTATTTGGGGATTTGGACACCTCCCTGGTGGAAATGTGTAATTGCAGTGCGTGGAAGAACATTTTGTAACGTGGGTTGTTTTGGACCCCTTCCCCAAGAGAATTTGAACAAAACTCGAAACTTGATGAAGGATGTTTCTTTTAAGGATGTGAGTGAATTTTCTATTATTGTCATCGTGTTCTCAGAAGTGTAATGTTGAGTTCTAAACAGCAGGGTGCACCTTCTTTTTGCACCTGTTCATGTGACGTTAGTACATAGACGTATGATGTGGTCTGAAACATCAAACCCTGTGCCTTTGACTTTTAAGTGATTACTTCATCCTTTAGAGGGCGACTCGCAGCAGCACCAGCACACCATATTTTAAGATGTTTTCGCCTCAGTAATACTATTTCTTTTTTTTAATGTTACCAGAAAGACTTAAATATGGCATTTGTCTGCAACTTTTAGCATACAATTTCTGCTACTTATTTGCTGAGTTTAACATAAAAAAACACAAAATACACATCTTTTCTCAAATAAAGAGCAAAAGAACAAAGCAGAGAAACACTAAATATATATTAATTTGTGCAGAAGTGTGTTCTCTCTAGCTTATCACTCAGAAAATCAATAACATGCCATTTGACCAAGCATTTGTACACAATTCTAAATGATAATATCTGTTAATTCTTGTTTATTATAACATGGAGAGCAAACACTGAAAAGCCTTGATTGGGGTCTGTCTCGATCTAACCTTGAAATATCTGTCTCACGAGGGTGGATCACTTTCTACTGGGCTATATCACCATAGCAACATAAGCTGCACTCCTAACCTGCTCCGTGGCCGACCCTCTGACCAATCAGGCCTTTGCATGATCTTTTTTGGGTCTCTTATTTCTTCTTTGTGATGTTTGTGGTATCAATAACATGAAAAATGACATCATACTACACAGATTTCAAGAAGATAAACCAGTCAATACTCAAATAAGCTCCAACACGGTATCAGTAGTGACTGTTGCTTTTTACTGTCATAAGGGCTTTTCTTTCTACATGTAAGCATAGCATAATTTGGTCACACTTTATTCGGATGGTCCCCTATAGATGCTCTACAGCTACTTAAATCATTGATGAACTTTCTGGTGATCCTCAGTTGATTATCAACAACATTAGGGTTAGGTGTAGATGTAGGTTTTGCCTTGAAGTTAAGGTTAGGGTTAGGTTTAGGGATAGATTTAATAAACTCTTTCACACTGAACCTCAAGTTCAGTTGAATTTAATGGATATTTAGTTGAATGTTATTGAAAGGCAGACTGAGCATTTACGAAGCATCTAAAGTGACCCATCTATGTAATATTCAACTTCCAGTTCAGTGACATTTAATAACTATTCAGTTAAATGTTACTTAAATATATACTGAGCATTTCCAAAGAATCTACAGTGGATCCTCCAAATAAAGTGTTACCCATAATTTTCTTCTGTCGCTCAGCATCTCAGGTTTCAAGTTTTTGGCTGTTTGTCATAAACGTCACACTTTCACATGCTTCTAATCCTGAGTTAACAGGGAACGTTGTTAACCACAGCTGCATTTGTTAGGTTTTGTGAAACTAAAATTAAGTCATGAAATCGGTCCAAGTTGAACGTAGTTTGGAAGACAGGCACGAACTCCTAAATTTCTATTTTTGACGTGAAGTGAACCTCACAGGCACACACAATATTTGGTTAAAAATCAGTTTTGGTCACTGCTATTAGAAAACAAACATTGTTTTAGAGACATTTTAGTATCATAATTCTTCCTGGACTTTGTTCCAAGGAAAGAGCTGAAATGCAGCCCAAGTAATACGACTGATGGAAAGAATCTACTCTGTGGAATAATGTCCTGACAAAGGGCCGTGTATAGGAAACAGTGGAGTGGCTGCAGAACGTCTGTTGTTTTAGTCATCATCTTTTCCTGCCTCTGTAGATGGCAAGGTTTAAAACGGCACACGACTGCTACTTACTCAAACAGCAAACTTGTAGGCAGGACGCAAGGCAGATATTTTGGAGCATGGGGAGGGGAGAAGTTGGCCAAAGACCCCAAAACATAACATAGCAGTGCTTCAATAAACACACCGAAAGTATTCCAATGTTCCACGTCATTTATAGCTGGCAACAGGTCAAAACAAGAGAGGCTGCTCACAGTGCACTGGCATCTTATGTTCAGGCTGGAGATTATTGTAATACAAACCGTCGGCAATCATTTTACAGGCATGGATTAAGCGAATTTATACAAAAAGAAGAATTTTTTTTGATATCCACTCAGGTTTTAAGCCCTTTCTTTTGAATTAACTTGATTGAACCCCCACTGGGTTTCAGAAGCTTCTCCATTGAGTTCTTTAATCCAGTATTGCATGACCGACAAAGCTAGTTCGTTAGACGGTGCTGCATGTCTTTTTCTGCCTCGTAGAGGCATGGCGGCTGTGACGACCTGTTTCCCAAGTTTTGGCATCCCTTTTGCGGCACAGGAGCAGTGTTTTAAAAGTGGCTCGGAACGAGTCGTTGCACAGAGCGTAGCACATGGGATTGACTGTGCTGTTGACGTAGCACAACCAGTATCCCAGTTGCCACAACTTTGCAGGGACACAGTGCGAAAGAGAAGCCAAGACCATGATGTTGTAGGGTGTCCATGTCAAGATAAAAGCCAACAGGATGGCGCTCAGCGTCCGTGCTGCTTTCTTTTCCCGAATGATCATGTTTATTCGCCTTTTGGTCTTGGGCTGCTTGCGGAGGCTGAGGTCCAGCGTTCTGGGTTTCTTCAGTGGAGGATGACAGAAGGGTGGCCCGGCTAGGGCTGGAATTTCCTGCTGGTACTCTGATCTACCTTGCAGGTCCTTCAACTTGATCACTGCAGGGTTTGATGCAGATGGTGCCATTCCTTTAAGATCTTGCTCCTGCTCTTCCTCGGTTGATGAAGAGGTTGGGGCATCGTCGTCCTCATCATCGATGTTCCAACTGTTGCTACTGCAAGCCTCCTTATAATTCTTGTCTCCTGGTGGCGGCAACATAGATGCGTTTGCTGTTACCAGAGGAAGCTGCTTTTGTCTCCCAGGAAAGCATCCCACTGATGGTTTCCTGGTGACCCCTGGACATTTTTCCGAATTTCTCTCCATGGAGCTGTTGAGACTGCTTTGTGTGCTGTTCTGGTAGGTGGACCGCTTGTCTCCCTTCATGGAGTTACCCGCACTACTGCTAACGGATCCCACAAACTTAGCAAGTCCTTTTGCTCTATTCTCAATCTCCCAGTAAATCCGCCAGTATAGAATGATCATGATGCTAACAGGAAGGTAGAAAGCGGCGATGGCTGTGCCAAAGGTTGGGAGGGGCTGCTTCAGGAAGGGAATAGAGCAATCCTTGGGCTCGTCCAGTGGTCTCTCAGGTACATGGGGCCAAGACAAGATGGCAGGTGCCCACAGGACAAATGACACTGCCCATGCCAATGTGATCAACATTGCCGCTCTTTTAGGTGTCCGTTTGGCTCGATATGTTAAAGGCCGTGTTACAGAAAAGTACCGGTCAAAGCTAATGACCAGAAGGTTCATGACGGAGGCATTACTAGCTACGTAGTCGAGCGCTAGCCACAGATCGCATGCTCTGGGTCCCAACATCCACTGACCCTTTATGATGTAAGCTGTGTAGAGGTTCATTGACACTGTGCCTAAGATCAAGTCAGCCACTGCCAGACTTAACAGATAGTAGTTGCTGATGGTTCTTAGTTGGCTGTTGACCCGGAAGGAGATGACCACCAAGAGGTTGCCTACGATGGTAATAAAGGAGAGTGGACCCGTCACCAGCACAATCAAAACCACCTCCCAAATCTGATGGCCGCCCAATGGATCCGCAGTCTTGTTGGATGTCTGGGGTTCGCAGGTGCCGTTCATGTTGCCAACCAAGACGCAACATGAAGTCCTTGAAGGGAACGCTCATTATTCAGGAGTACTGAAGGGCTTAGTGATGCAGGTCCTTAGCATCACCACCTTCCTGGTATGAAGTCTTCTCCCATTCTTCTGACAAAAGAAACAAATAGGAGAGGTAAGTTTTAGGTTAAACAATCTGTTTCCCAGTATTACGTGGTTTTTGTTGATTTTCTAAGCAAAGAATAAGTTAACACATAGAGAACACACTTCTGTGGAGGAATTACTCCACAAACCAATTACTGTTTATTTGCAGAACTTAATGTATTAGGGGGAAAAAAACTAAACATAAAATGTGGCCTGTGAAAAAAGTTTTATATGATTATATTAAAAACTAACAAATAAATTTAAAACAATTTGCAGAAAGTGCCATATTTCATTTTGTTCTCTGTTAATGATAGGATAGCTTATTTAGATAACTTATTTATTTAAAATCAACAAACCATGTAATTTGACTAGGGGGTGTTGGGGGCAAAAAAAAATGTATATATAACGAACGTCTGGTCCCATTGACTTACATTAAAACAAGCTCTACTACATTAAAAGTAGAGCTTGTTTTTCCTTCTCCTGTAAAGTTACCATTTTGGAGATACAATGTTTTGTATATAATAATACATGTAGTAAGTACACAAAGTAAGTACACCCTATGAAATGTTTCTCTTTTTTGATACAATTATTTTGTCTTCTGTTGAAAAACAAAGCAATTTGACTTTGCAATCATTTAAAAAAAAACTTAACTGATGTCATGCTGGTCTGTTGAAAAAGTAAGTACACCCCTGGCTCCAGTAACTGGTACTGCTCTCTTTGGCAGAAAAAAAACTTTATTTAGGCATTTCCTACATAAACCAGTTTACCAGTGTCCATCAGTTTTTGCCCATTCCTCCCAGCAGATTTCTTTTAAATGTGCAGCATTTGCCAATCCACAACCCTCCATTTCTTCCTTTTATCTATTGGTGGATTTACTTCTATGTTTGGGATCATTATCCTGTTAGAAGGGGCACATCTTGATCTTCAGCTTGTAGGCTCCCAACTTTTTCTGAAGACATCAGAGAGCTCTCTTGATCTAGGCATGATGATACCCCGCACTCCAATAACAAAGATCAAATCAGGCAAGATATCTGAGGTTTAAATAAGACACGTTTCTCCAAGACATTATCTACTGTACTCATACTCACTAGCACATGATCAGGTACACCTGCTTTCAATTTGACACATTTGAATTATTGATATATGTAGGGGTGTACTTACTTTTTCCACATAAGAAAATTGCATTACTGTTCATGTCAAGTATACAAAGGATGACAAAAATGTTAATTGTCTTTTGCTAAATGATATATATATATATATATATATATATATATATATGTGTGTGTGTGTGTGTGTGTGTGTGTGTGTGTGTGTGTGTGTATATAGTGTGTGTGTGTGTGTGTGTGTGTGTATATATGTGTGTGTGTGTGTGTGTGTGTGTGTGTGTGTGTGTGTGTTATATATATATATATATATATATATATATATACACACATACACACACACACACACACACAAAAAATACATACATACACACACTAGTCCCCTTTACTGATCGGCAATGACGCTTTAAGCTTGATGTCAACTAGTTGCTGATCACTTGATTGACAGTAACAGCATGGTTGCCTAGGGGTAGATGACCGGTGATGAGCCTGGTGATTTTGGGGTCTCTATGTCTGGTTTAGGGGATATCACGCTCTGCTGACCTGCCAAGTTTGGCCTCGTCACAGATTTTTGAAGTTGCTTGTTGCTAAGCATTCCCTTCTTCTCGTTTTATTCATGAAGTTATCAGGGACTAGTCAACATTGAATCAACTTTCATCACATAACTGTTGACTTTAAAAAGCCTAAAGCTTTGCAACTCCTAATATACAAACACACACCGATGAGGCAACATTATGACCACCTGCCTGTTATGCTGTTGGTCCTCCACATGCCACTAAACCATCTCTGATTCGCTATACCATGGACTCTATAAGACCTCAGATGGTGCCTTGTGGTATCTGGCATCAAGATGTTAGAAGCAGATCCTATTAGTCCTGTAAGTTGCAAGGTGGAGTCGCTGCAGATGGGACTTGTTCCAGCACATACCACAGACACTTGATCGTATTCACATCTGCAGAATGTGGAGGCCAGGGCAACACCTCGATTAATGTGTGCAGGGTGGCATAGGGCATTATATTGCTGATGGAGGCCACTGCCTTTGGGGAATCCCTTTGCCTTTACCTTTTTCTGGTGGCATGTGACAAAATGATGTCCACATGAATGCCTGGACCCAGGGTTTCTGAGCAGAACAGTACCTATACACTCCCTCCACTGGGTTTTGTTCTTCCCAAAGTGCATCCTAGTGCCGTCACTTCCCTAGGTAATCAGTGCACATGTACCCGACCATCCAGAAGGTGGCCTTCTTCCAATACCTGCGTGCCCATTGTAGGCACATTTGGCAGTGGACATGGATTAGCATGGGCACTCTGACCGGTCTGTGCTATGCAGCCCCATATGCGGCCGGGTGTGATGCACTGTAACCATCATGGACCACTGTTGGTAGGTATCCACCACTGCAGACCAGGAGCACCCCACCCTTGTCAAAGTCGCTCAGGTCTCCACACCTGCCCATTTCTTCCACATCCAACTTGTCTACAATGAGAACCAACTGTTTGCTTACCGCCTAATCTTTCCCAGACCTGCACTTTATTATTTGCTTAATCTGTGAGTGGACATGTTTTGGCTCACATCACACACCCCCACTTAGTCGACCCATAAAAAGTCTACACTTGCAAGAACTTTAATAGTGGCACAGTTAATCTGCAGCAAATCTTCTTGTTTTACTTGTCCATAAACAAATGAGCAGAAGCTTGTGGTCCTTTTAATCTGACGTAGTTACAGGTTGTTCTGATGGATACTAACATTGACAATTTTGCTTGCCCACTGTAAAGCCTTTAGCACCCAATAAAGCCAACCTGTGTTATCTGTTGCTCTAGATAAGCAATACTCCATCTGATAACCACTTCCACTACCTAACACTCTCAACGAGAGGTACAGATGAGTGCCCTTTCCACTATTTTCTGCCTGTCGTTTTTAACATCTCCCAAATGAGTTCGGGGAAGCTCATTAAGTATATGAAGCGTCGCCCGTTTACCCTCTCTGTTTGATGTACTGGATCCCTGTTGACTCAGACAGAGGCAGACACGTGTATTTACCTGATGACATTTGCTTTGAGATAAGTTGCTTTTTAATAACTGTGCGCATCTGTGGGAAACGAGCTTCATGGTGCTGGTGACGTCTATTCGGCCACGTACAGTGGAGGTACATTATAGACAGCTGCGTTTTTTCATGCATCCACGTATGGTGGAAAAAAAGATTACATCAGTGCGCTGATTCGGCTGATAAAAACGCGTTTATCTCAGCTCTACGATGTGAAAACGTGTAGAACCTGACAAATCCGACCACAAGAAACAGGCCTCTGCTTTTGTGATCAGTACAGAGGTGTGCAAAGTGACCTGAACTGGATGAGTTAATCCAGCCTAGGTTTATTTGGCAGAAATGGAGTGTCTAGAGAGAGATTCCATGATGGTAATTTGTCTTCTTTCGTCACAACAGTGGTAGAGCTAATACCATTCTAAACATTTTCAAATGGACACAGGCTTTTGCTTTTGGATTAGCATGTTTTTTTTTCTGTTTTAAGCAAAGCAGTTCTGTTCTAGATAACATAACCAAACAGTTGAGAATAAATTGTCTTCACAGGCAACTTGGCGGTCTTTTAATTTTTATTCTATAACTTGTTCTACATTACAGAATTTGCAAATCCACTACACTCTTTAAAAAGACCACTTTACACTCAGAGAACCCTTTGCCTGATTAAAGGGTTCTTTGCTTCCTGAAAGGGGTCTTCAGATTGATGGAGTGTGTGTTATAGATGATTCTATGTAGAACCTTTTTGAAAGGGTTCTACACAGCACCAAAAAGGGTTCTTCTGTTGTTACTCTATTGTTAAAATGTCAGGATTGTAACAATAGCAGAACCCTTTTTTGGTGTTATATAGAACCCTTTTTTTTAAAAAAAAAAAACATTTACACCATCTTCAGCACATTCTCCATCAATCTGAAGACCTCTTTCAGGATGCAGAGAACCTTTTAATCATGCAAAGGGTTCTTTGAGTGTACATGGTTCTGTATAGAACCATTGTCTTTTCTAAAGAAACCCTTGAAGAACCATCTCTTTGAAGAGTGTACACTCCACTCCATCTTCTACACTCTTAAAAATAAATGTTACCAAATGGTTCTTTGCTTGAATGTGTAGTTTTAACATTAAAAGTGTTCTTAATACTTACAAATTTTATTTACAAATAAAAAAAATATATTTTCTTTTAAAAAGCCAAGCAATCAAAGGTTTAGGGAACCCAAAGTGGTTCTTCTATGGCATTGCTCCAAAAAAAACCTTTTTCTATTATTTTTGAGAATGTAGCTACCTCAGTCTAGAACCACCAAATTCTGCCCATAGGCCTAATACACAGTTTTGTGCAAAAATCAGAGACCACCCTTCATTTATTTAATTTCCACACAAAGCAGCCATTAAGTACAAGTTTTTCATTTTTAGGAGAAATGTCTGAGCAGATTAGATGAGTACAGGAAGGAAAATGTCAAAGTAAAATGACTGGAAAATTGAGAGATCAAAAATTGGGACTCCTAACAACCACCTGCAAAACCTGGCAGACCACCAAAACTGTCCCCATCAGATAAACAGCATTTAAAGCTTTCATCTTGGAGAGAGAGGAGAAAATCAAGCTCCACTTTTGATTCAGATCTGAAAACATCCACAGCCATTTTTCCACTGTGAGAAGACAACTCAGCACTATGGGTCTGAAAGGATGTGTAGCTGTTAAGAAGCCTCACTGAGAAAAGGAAATAGATAAAAAAGAAGAAAAAAACTAAGAAGCTGTTCTCAGAACAATGGACTGACCACCCCAGAGTCCAGACCTCAACATCACTGAATGTGTTTGGGATTATTGAATTGTGAGAAGCAGAAAATGCAACCAACTTCTAAGACTGAACTTTGGAGGTGTGGAACAAAGATCCCTGCAGATTTCTTTTAAAAACTAAAAGCGAGTCTCCTGAAAAGAATGGAAGCTGTAATAAAGGTAAAGGGTGGACACACTAAATACTGATAAATGTGATGTTTTCTGTTTTCCCCAGACACTGAAAAATGGATTACTTGTACTTAATGGCCATTTTGGAACTAAAGTGTGACCTCTGAGTTTTGCACAATACTGTATATTTAATGCAATTAACAAAAAAAAATAAAATAAAAACTCTTGGCAAAAAGGGTTCTATATAGTACCAAAAAGGGTTCTTTGGCTTGTAACAATAGTGGAACCCTATTCCACCACTCAAATAGTGTGGAAGAACCATCTTTTAAAAGAGTGAGTAGTAAGCTGAGGCACTGAGTTATAAACATCGCTGACACCCCGGCTGTAAAGTTTGAGAAACCAAACTTGGTATGACACCAAACTAAACTCTGTCCAAGACTGTGCTGCTATTTATACTGATGACCCAATTCTTAGTGTTCTCTCAACTTCACTGTTTTTCAGAACTACTTTTTACAAACGTATAAAACTAGTGCCAACAAACCGTCTTTGAGTCTTTATACTGTCAGTACACAGTATATATTTTAAATTATAGTGTCTAGTTTCTTATATATTTATACTATAGAATATTTGTAGAATATTCAGGTTCGTACATATTTAGCACTTTGATTCACTCTTTTATACATTTTTATGACATTAAGTTTTAACATTCTGCACATTATATGAAAATGGAAAATCATGAGTAATAAACCTTCACTGTACAAACTTACCTCTTTGGAAGCGTATCATCAAGCTGTAGCCCTTTCGGGAATATGTAAGAGATCCTTGTCCATCATGTATCCACAGATTTCAGCTAACAGATTTAGCTGATGGAAATCATCATGGATTTGATGCTCCTGCTGTGCATCTTCTACGTTGGATAAAACTTGTACCTGTTAACAGTTATTGCCATATACGTCCACCATCATAAGTGTTTCAGTATGACGCCTTCAGTAGGTCCTGTTATCTGGAGGAACTAAAAATCAAATGAAACCTCTCATTAGCCGACCGTGTTGCTCTTCTCACACCAGCAGTACTCTGTACTGAGACAGCGGAGGACAGAGGATCCTGTCATAAGACGAGTAAATAACGGCGTTCAAACCCAGAGCGCCGGTGATGAGGTGCAGACGCTCAGCGTATCCCTCCGCACACTCAAACATAGCCGCAAACAGAAAAGTGTGAGTGATCAGGCTCCTCCTTTGAAGGTGGAAAGACACCAAATTGTGCCTGGACAGGAAAATTATAGTCTGATGTTGACCAATTGATGCATATGGCGAATGTAACTGTGGGTTCTGTCAGTTTCTAGGTGGTTCCCCAGGGTGTACAAATGATCTGAGTCCATTAGAAAGTTCATCCTCTTAGTAGGGTACCACAGTGCACCTCAGATTATATGGGATGGGTGCGTGTCCTGTCCCCTGGTCATGACCAAGTGGGAACTGACTTTCAAGTAGGTAAAATCTGCAACTCCATGTCCAAAAAAGTTGTGACGCTGTGCAAAATGTAGATAAAAGCAAAATGCAAGGATGTGCAAATCATTTAAACCCTATATTTCATTGAAATAGTACAATGACAATATATCAAATGTTGAAACTGAGAAATTTTGTTTTTTGAAAAATATTTGGCCATTTTGAATTTGATGCCAACAACACGTTCCAAAAAAGTTGGGACAGGGGCAACAAAAGGCTGGTAAAGTTGTGTAATGCTAAACACCTGAAGTTTGATTGACAACAGGTCAGTAACATGACTGGGCATAAAAAGAGCATCTCAGAGAGGCTGAGTCTTTCAGAAGTAAAGATGAGGAGGGGTTCACCACTCTGTGAAAGACTGCACCATCAACAATTCAAGAATAACGTTTCTCAACATAAAATAGCAAAGGCAGCGCTGCATTAAAAACAGACATGATTCTGTAGTGGAAATCACTGCATGGGCTCAGGAACACTTCTGAAAAACCACTGTCTGTGAAAACAGTTCGTCACTGCATCCACGAATGCAAGTTACAACTCTAAAATGCAAAGAACAAACCATATATAAACAGGATCCAGAAACGCTGCCACCTTCTCTGGGCCTGAGCTCATTTATAATGAACTGAGGGAAAGTGGTAAAGTGTCCTGGTCCGACAAATCAACATTTCAAATTCTTTTTGGAAATCATGGACATTTTGTCCTCTGGGCTAAAAGACCACTCAGCTTGTTATCAGTGCACAGTTCAAAAGCCAGTGTTCATGATGGTTTAGGGGGGCATTAGTGCACATGGCATGGGTGATGTGCACATCTGTGAAGGCACCATTAATGCTGAACGATATATACATGTTTTGGCAACATATGCTGCCATCCAGACGACGTCTTTTTCAGGGGATGCTTTGCTTATTTCAGCACATTCTGCATGTATTACAACAGCATTGCTCCGTATTAAAAGAGTCTGGGCGCTAAACTGGCCTGCCTGCAGTCCAGACCTGTCACCCACTGAAAACATTTGGCGCGTTCATTAAATGAAAAATATTATAAAGGAGACCCTGAACTGTTGACCAGCTGATATCCTATATCAAACAATAATGGGAAAACATTTCACTTTCAAAACTACAGCAGTGTCTCCTCAGCTCCCAAACGCTTACAGTGTGATGGTAAAAGAAGAGGTGATGAAACACAGTGGTAAACAGGCCCCCCGTCCCAACTTTTTTGGAACGGGTTATCGGCATCAAATTCAAAATGAGCATATATTTTATATATTTTTAATGGGCATATATTTCTTTGTAGTATTTTCCTTTAAAAATATGGTTTACATGATTTGCATATCATTGCATCCTATTTTTATTTACATTCTGCACAGCGTCCCAACTTTTTTGGAACTGGGGTTGTATTTGAACAGTCAACACTCTCACAGTCCAACTCGAAATTCCATCTCGAATAGTCAAAGTTTGTCCAAAGTGCTGATTTCTCAGAGCTGCTGTTATGTGACATCAACCTACACACTTAAAGATGGTTATTCAAGGGTTCTTTAGTAAAGAATATGGTTTTATATAGAACCATGAACACTCAAAGAACCCTTTGCATGATTAAAGGGTTTTTCAGATTGCAGAGTGCTGTAGACTTTTTGAAAAGTGTTCTATATAGCAACAAAAAGGGTTCTGCTATTGTTACGATGTCAAGACAACAATAGAAGAACCCTTTTTTGGTGCTGTATAGAACCATTTTCAACCATATATAACATCAATCTGAAGAACAGTTTCACCATGCAAATAGCCATTTAATCATGCACAGTGTCCTTTGAGTCTTCATGGTTCTATATAATCATTTTCTTTGCTAAAAACCTTTGAAGAACTATCATTTTTAAAGTGTAGAACAAAACGTGTTGTAAACAGACTTTTACGCTGATGTTTGTGTATGATGTGCTCTTCGTGTTTGATATTGCTGAATGCAGATGGTTTCTTGGGTAATTATACGGTTAAATCGTCATTTTTATTTTTTAATTGTGTGCTTTCATGTCATTATCGGCACTATATTAACATTGAATTGCCATAGCAACAACTTTTAAAATAATTTAAGCACTAACCAAACATCTCTTTAACTCCGGTCTAAAAGCTTTTTAATAGCTTTTTATATGGCTACAGTAGTCAAATGTGTTGTAGATTACTGAGTGTCCACCCCACCCCCTGCCCACCCCCCGAGCCGTGAGGTGTGATGTAGGAGGCCCCAGGTTCAGTTCAAGATATCACTTAATTTATATATATGTATGTGTGTGTGTGTGTGTATGTGTGTATATATATATATATATATATATATATATATATATATATACACACAAACACTGTGTCCAGTCACTGTCCACTTTATTAGACACACCTACCTTGTAGATGTAAAGTCAGAGACGATAGCTCATCTGCTGCTGCACAGTTTGTGTTGGTCATCCTCTAGTCCTTCATCAGTGGTCACAGGACGCTGCCCACAGGACGCTGTTGGCTGGATATTTTTGGTTGGTGGACTATTCTCAGTCCAGCAGTGACACTGAGGTGTTTAAAAACTCCAGCAGCACTGCTGTGTCTGATCCACTCAGACCAGCACAACACACACTAACACACCACCACCACGTCAGCGTTACTGCAGTGCTGAGAATGATCCACCACCTAAATAGTACCTGCTCTGTGAGGGTCCATGGGGGTCCTGACTACTGAAGAACAGGGTAAAAGGGGGCTAACAAAGTATGCAGAGAAACAGATGGACTACAGTCTGTAACTGAACTACAAAGTGCACATATATAGTAAGTGGAGCTGATAAAATGGACTATGAGTGTAGAAACAATATATACACACATACATCCACTATTGTTATAAGTCAACCTTTTTTCAATACTTCAGTGTTTTTTTTTTGGTTAAAAGTACTTAAAATGTTAAAAACAAAAATAAGCAGTGGTATAAAATATGTTTATTGGGTGAAGACTTCATTTTGAAGAGTGCACTGTGGATATGACTGTAGAACATGAGGAAAGCTGAAACTGCTGGAGCTTCAGCGTGCCTGGATTTCTTCTTCAGAGCTCTGCCTACAGACAGTGACAGTTTGTTCAGTCTCACTTCTAGGAAAGATCCATAACTAAGAGTCAGACTCTTCTGTTAGTGCTTTGAGTTTTCCAACCATTTGAAAACCTCCTGGAATGACGGATATTCAGACTCCTGGAGTTCTGTAACTCTGCACTGCCACAAGTTTATCACGTCTTCGCGTGGTTGATGTTTTATGGCTCTTCTACCCGCTACTCTTTAATCTCGGATAATCTAGAATCTTGTTTGGTCTTCGTCCAGTGACGTCCAATCATAGCTAATTTCCTTTAGTGCTGTGTTGTCCTATGTATACATGATTAGTGTAAAAGCTTTTGGAGTATTTGCTTGGCAAACAAAAGCTAGCCACCTGGGATGTCCCTGCTGCGGCTCGTAAGGGTGTTATAAAGTCTCACCTGTCTTTTATGTCACTGTAACAGTCTTAAAACAGGTGATTGAGGGGAGTTTTATTGCACTGTCTGTTTTAATTTCCTCAGCTTGCTAACTACTGTGTTACAGCGCTTGAATGAGGAATATGCAAAAACGGCACTGGTGTGAGAGTTCAGCACAAGAGAGCTGAGTTCAGTTTTTTCACCATGTGCTGTCTTTATCAGATCCTGAAGATCCTGAAATGAAATATGTTTCCGTACGCTTGCTAGTTCTCAGGAAAATAAATAAGTATAGTCTACAATGTGCTCTGTGGCCTTTAGCCAGTGTGGAGGAGAAGCCAAGTGACGTTTCTCTGTAGCGTGTGGTAGAACTTTTTCAAATTTTTGTAACACTATTTTTGCCCTAAGCAATAATGTAGGTTTATCAAGTTATTCATTGTTATTTTTTTATCACTTTAAAGAGGAATTCCATACATTATATATATTCAAATATATATATATATATATATATATATATATATATATATATATATATATATATATATATATATGTAAAGTGTTAACTTTATATAAAGTGTTAAGTGTTCCTTTAACAGGAAAAGGAAAAAACTTTCTTAACTTTGAATCGAAGTTAATAGAACTAGATTTTTCTTGACACATTGTAGAGGTCAGCTGGTATTTTCAAATTTTGTAAAAAAGTTAAAAATGACAAAAATAGAGGTTCTAGGTTAAGTTCCACCAGCACCGTTTTATATATAAAAAAATCAGTCACCTTGCGTGTTTAAGGTGGTAGTAACTTCAGACTACTGCCAAGGATGATTGCGCTATAAATACCAGCAGCGGGATTCATAGATTGAGAAAATGTGGCGCAGTGCAGTGAATGTCTTGTTCGATGTGTGGGAAATGTTAATGATTGGCAAAAAGAAGTGTTTGCATTTGGGCCAAAGACCATAGTGTAAAGGAAGTAGCTGAATTTGCAGGTGTATCGAAGCGCGCAGTCATACGGGTCGACCAGCAGTGGCAAAAATCCCAGTCTACAGGAAATTCTCATCAGAATTGTGGCCGAAAGACGAAACTGATGGACAGGGACTGCTGGCGTGTTTCACAGCCTGTGAATAAAAATGACTTTTAGGCAAGAACTGCTTCTAGAGGTCAACACAGGTTCTTCACAACCAACTTCTGAAAGAACACCCCGCAGGGAACTACATACCATGAACATATGAAGCAGAG